CCACAACAGCCCAGGAGCCCCCCCGTGCCCAGCCTTCCACAGCCCCCCACGCTCTCCACCCACCACAACACCACAGGCCAGGACTCCCCTCGGTGCCCGATGCCCCCTGCTGAGATGAGGGGGCCTTGCAGGCCTGGCTGACCCCCACTGAGGCGCGCAATGGGCTGGGGACTTTCCTACCTGGTGCTAGCGTCAGCATAAGGACACTGCCCCCCCCCCGCAAGTGGGCATCGGGCATGACGTCCTTGTGCTGCCCCCACTGGCCTGACCTCCACCCCCACCCTGACCACCACCCGCTGCCCTCGGTGGCACCACCACGCGGCTGCACACTCACTTTCTCTGTGGTGATGTTGGTCTCTGCATCATGGCGCTTCTGGGTGAAGATGATGTTGAAGACGGCGTGGGAGCGGCTGCTGGTCTCATTCATGTTGGTGGCCGCCACGGTCCTGAGGAGCAGAAAGCCACACACGGTTACCCCTCATCCTGTGGCCAGGCGCAAGGTCACCAGTGGTACCAGCCCTCTGGACCGGGTCATCGGGGGGCAGCTCCCCCAGACCCCAGGAGCCGCCCTGCCTGGGCTGGCATTGACGCTGCCTCCTGCCAAGGCTCCAGCAGGGAGCCTGCCCACAGTGGTGTTCACAGACTCAGCCCCCGCCTGGCATCTTTAGGGCAGCAGTGACTGGGGGAGTCTCCCACTCCTGGGCACACAGAAGCCCATGTGGCACCCAGCTGGGCAGGAGCCCTCCAGAGCCATGATGTGGGAGGGGAAGGGGCATCCACTGCCCACCCCACCACGGCCCACACCCGAGGCTCTGGGAAGCCCAAGGAGCCCTCCACTCCCCACAGGAGGTGGCACAGATCAGCGGCGGTGTCCTCCAGAACAGGAAGCCTGAGGCTGCTGAGGGTGGCCTGAGGTTGGTCCCAATGCCACCCTGACCTGCCAGGGACCTCAGGGAAGGCTCCCAAGACTCAGCCCACAGCGTGCAGTGGCACAGGGCCCGGCTCCAGCACGGTGTCATGGTGACGGCCAGGGCGCGCTGAGGGCCTCGTCAGGAATAGCAGCCCCCCACTGGTCCTCCTAGGGCCACCAAGGGGGTGCAGGATGGCAAGGAGTGTGACTCCCAATCTCCGACCTCAGGAGCTGAGAGTGACAGGGGTCATCGCCTTACCCTCAGGAAGTCCTGGGGGGTGGAGGGGGGAGGGTCTGTTGCCATGACAACCAGGGCATCTGGGCAGAAGGCCCAAGGCAGGGGAGGCCAAGCAGCCGGGTTGTTCATGGCGGCAGCCCTGTGTGGCCGCCCCTCTCCACGCACACCCCGGCCCTAGCACACTGGCCCTGCTGCCACAGATGCTGCCAGCACCCCCCAGGCGCCCGGGCTGGAGGATGCAGGTCCCCATGAAGGAGCAGCCCGTAGATGTCACAGTGTCCCCTGCACAGGGGGAGCTCTCAGCCTCTCCCGGGCTGGCACAGGCCTGAAGGGCTCAGGCTCAGGAGGGCACACCTCCACTGGGGCATGCACAGACCCCACAGAAAAGGGCTGAGCCCAAAGTGAAGGGGTTTCCTCCCAGGAGAGGTGGTGGGACAGGAGGGCAGGGAGGGCCAGCAAGTCCCCCAACCCACCTGGCCTTGTTCCCTGAGTCCATGAGGTCCTGGATGTCATTGTAGGAGGTGACAGCCAGCTTGGAGAGGTCCTCCACGTAGGGCCCCAGCAGCGGGTGCTCCCTTACCCGCAGGTTCCCCTTGTTCTTGGGGTTCAGGAGATCACGGACACGCTCACAGTAAATCTCCATGTAGCTGACCTGCAGGGCAGAGCCAGGCCATCAGGGACCCCTGAGGTCGGGGAGTGGGGCCGTCACTGGGGGGACCCCTGAATGAGGGGGGGTGGGGACTGCGTGCTGAGCTGGGGGCACATGCAGAGGGCTCCCTGTCTGCAGCCCCGTGTGCACGTACGAGGCAGGGGTGTCAGTGTGGCCTCCCTCCCCGCGGCCATCCTGGGCTCTAGGACACAGGCGTGCCAGGGGCACCTCGGGCATGGCAGGCATGGCCAGGTCTTGAGCTCTGAGGTGCCGGCCTCTGCCCCGGCACAGACCAGCTGCTGGAGAGGACCCTGCTGGGCAGGGTTCCCTGGCCGCTCTGTGCTTTGGGGGACTCGAGCCCTGCCCAGGCCAGCCGTCTTGCACTTGGAAGAGCAAGGGACAAGCTGGGTGCACAGACCAGTGGTGGGCACTCACGTGGCATGAGGAAGGCACTGCCAGCCCCTCGGGTTTCCCATCCCTGCCCTGGGGCCGATGGCGGGAGGCGGGGGCCTACCTCCACGGAGTAGGACATGTTGTCATTGCTGGTGTCATTGATCCGAGAGAAGAGGTCCTCGCAGAGCTGCAGGAATGGGGACGGTCAGCAGGGGAGGGCTGGGGCTGCTCCCTGGATCCCCCGTTGGGGTGCTGTGGGCAGCCTGCGCCAGGCAGGGTCTACCTTCTCAGGCCCCTCGTGCACCCTCGCCACACACACGTCATGATAAAGGCACTGAGGCAGTCTGTAGCCAAGGAGCCGCGGTCTCCCTCTTAACTCAGGGGTCCCTGGCTGATATCTGACCCTTTCCTGTGGGTCGCCTGCCCCTCGCCCTGGCTCCACCATCCCACAGATACCCCAGCGACCTCCCTTCCTTCCACAGGCAAAGAAGTGGTGACCAGCTCAGGCCCAGAGACCTGCCCAGGGGGATGGCAAAGGAGGAGCTGCTGTGTCTCGGTGTTCGGTCACCCCTGTCCTGAGCACGCTCTCTGCCCGCACTGCCAGCCCCCACACCCCCGAGATCAGCTGCCCCAGCCACGGCTCTCCCGCTGCCCTGTCTAACATGCATGATCAAGGTGGACCCTGTCAAGGCCAGGCCCATCCTGCACTGGGGCCTGGGTCAGCAGTTTCACGGCCACCCCTGGCTCTCTCACCTGCCCAGCCCTACCCTTGACCCAGCTGGCCTTCCCCTCCCCAGTCCCTGCTCTCTGGGGACTGCTCTCAGGGGTGCCTGGCCCGGACTTCTCAGTCTCAACTGGGCCCGCCCCGCCCGCCCCCGCCTCGTGCCTGCGGGATGATGCCCTGCTGGTCCTTCTCTTGCTTGCCCATCATGGTGTAGGACTTGCCGGCGCCCGTCTGCCCGTAGGCGAAGATGCACACGTTGTACCCCTCAAAGGCGTGCTGCAGCATCTCCTCACCGATGTCCCGGTACACCTGCTTCTGCGAGGCGTAGTTGATGTCCTCGGGCTGAGGACGAGGAGGAGACGAAGCTGCAAGAGGCTGGCTGCCCCGGAGGCTCAGCCCATCGTGTCCAAGGAGCCAGGGGTACCAGGCAGCAGAGCGGGGAGGGTCGCCTGACCTCATCCGAATCCTGCCTGGGGGACAGCTTCCTGGAGGAGGGGCCCTCTTTGTCACAGGTGAGGGATGAAGAGTGGCCGCCAGGCGGGAGAGCGGGTTCCAGGAGAGGGAACAGCCCATGCAAAGTCCCAGAGGTGGGACCTCAAAAGTTCTGTGTGACTGTGACAAGCAGGGGTGACAAGAGCTGGGGCAAGGGACAGGGTGCAAGGCCCAGAGACCCCACAGGCTGAGCTGCGGTGCCTGGACACTGTCCTGAGGGCAGCGGGGCACTTTAGGCAGGGGGACAGCATGGCTGGCTGGGGTCATCCTGGAAGGAGGACTGTCTGGATGTGGTGGGCAGAAGCGCGGAGCTTTGGGGCTGCTACAGGGGGCAGGTGCTCGGAGATGTAGGTATGAGGGCCCTAGGTGAGGAGGCTGCCTGCCTTCTAGAAGGGTCCGGGAGGTGGCAGGTGGAGGACAGGGCCCCGTGTGGACTGGATGGGGGAGGGGGGAAACAGAAGAGTCCAGGTGTCTCCTGGGCTCCCAGCGTGCAGGGCACAGATGCCAGGCAGGCCCAGGGTCAGCTCTGGGCATTCTGGCTTTGGGATGCCTGGAGAAGTCACCAGCAGCTGGACAGACACACAGCTCTGACCCTGGAAACCACCCACAGGGAGCTGACGGCCCCTCAGCCCTGCAGCCTCCATCACTGCCTTAGCCGGGGACGCTGAGTGGAGCAGGGTCCAGGTGAGCTGGGTGGGGTCCTCGCCCCAGCTAGAGGGGAATGAGCGGCTCAGAGAGGCGGAGGGACCCCGAGGGCCCCGTGGCTCCACACTGCTGCCCGCCTCCCCCGACCCGGGGCCCCGGCTCACCGACGTGTGTGACCAGTAGGAGTAGTCGAAGCTGAAGCTTTTGGGAGTCTCCTTGGGCTGTTTGGGGTTAATGATGGCTGCAGGAAGGAACGCAGGTGTCAGTGCTGTGCTGGGAGGGACCCTGGCCAGCTGGCGTCGACACTTCACGGTAGGGAGGTGGTCCTAAGAGGCCTCGGGCCCCAGATGAGTCAAGCCCGAAAATCGGAGGGGACCTAGGCCCCCACGCCCAGCCGGGCGAGCTGTCTCTACCCCGTCTTCATGGTGGGCCCTGACACCCACGAATGCCCGAGGGCGTCACTGTACCAGCCTGCAAGCATCCGTGTCATTCTCCCACCCAGTCCAACTGGCTCCCTCAAAGGCAGCCACTCTGGAGGCCCCTTCCCTGCATCGAGCCGAAGCCCCTCCATCTCTTCGGCCCACCCTGGGCTCACAGCGCCTGCCCTGCCCAGGCCCTCAGGCTCTGGCTCGGCTCTCGCACGCCCGAGCACTGGGAGCCTGGGCATCTGCCACGTTTGTGCCATGCCTGTGTGACTCCTTCTAGGTTTGCCGCTCTGGACAGAGCTGTTTGGGACTGACCTCTGCCTGAGTCCGTCTCCCTCCTCCCTCATTCACTCAACTTTAAGCCCAACTCCAGGCCCCCTGGGCTGGCTTCAGGCAGTGCCCACAGAATGCTGTTCATCAAATCCAGAGAAAATCCATGAACACGTGATGATGCCACCACCCACAGCCGGTGCCTGGGGGGCGTCCCAGGAGCTGTCCCAGAATGACTGTCCCAGGAGGTCCCCCAGCCACATGGCCTGCAAGTGTCTCAGGAGCCCAGCAACCCACCGCCACCTTCCAGCCTTGCCCCCAGCGTTTCCCAGGCCCGGGACGGAACTGCACCCCGCAGGCTGTGAGTCCTCAGTGGCCGGAAGGACAGGATGTGCACCCTGGAACACGATCTGAACCGTGTTGACAGAGGCCTGGAGGCCTGAGGCAGTCCCCTCTCAGGTTCTCACACCCAGGAGGAACCCTGGCCCATCCTGGTCGGGGGTCCCGGAGACCACCACCATCACGCCATCATCCATCAAGCCTGAAGAACGAAGCCCTCACGCCACCGCCCCAGCTGGGAGATGGAGGCTGGGGACAGAGGTCTGTCTGCCCCGGGCCGGTTTTTCTCAGCCAATGTGGGCCGGGGCCGTGAGGCACAGCCTCCAGGATGCCCACACCCTCTGCACCACCATGCACCCTGGGACCTGCCACCAGTGCCACGGAGAACAAAACAGCCCTGTTATAAGTTAAACCATGTCCCCCAAATCCACAGTTTGAAGTCCGAACCCCTACTGTCTCAGAATGGGACCTCACTTGGAGGTAGACTCGTTGCGGAGGTAGTTGGGTGAGATGAGGTCCACGTCCTCACAAAAGAGATTTGGAGACAGACGTGCATGGGGAGGGCACCATGAGAACACGAGGGCAAAGGTCAGGGTGAAGCCGGCAAGCCCCAGAAGCCAGGGGCCCTGGACGGTGTCCCTCATGGCTCGGAAGCAGCTGCCCCTGCCACCTGCTGGAGCTCAGACGTCTGGCCCGCAGGATCACGAGACAGCACGCTTCTGCGTGTGGTGCTTCCTTATGGCAGCGTGGGGCACTGAGACCCTGTCCACCTGTCCACACTCCGTGGCTGCTCCAGGCTCCGTGGTGCCTGGGTCATGCTCTCTGGCCATGAGTCCTGCTGACAGCATAGGTGTCACTGGCAGCCCTGTCCCCAGGGCACATCCAGCTTCCGGTACCACCTGGGCCTCTGTCCCAGGCCTGAGGATTTACAGGAAACATTCAGGTACCCTGGGCAGCCAGCAGGAGGGAGCCGGGGACTGAGCGTCGCAGCCCTGTCCTTGGAGCCGAGGGGCCACATCCGTGCTGTGTCCAGGAGCAGAGGCAAGGAGGAGGCCGAGCTGCCTGCCAGGACCCAGGTAACAGCACCTGTGGCGCCACCTCCAGAGCCCCCAGCACGGATCAACCACCAACCAGTGCTCTGGGAACAATGGCAGCGCGTTCCCAAGCTCAGCCCAGCTGGGCCTCCCAGCTCGACACAGCCCCGTGACCCCTGCTCAAGCCAGCAACACCCACCCTGTCTACCTCCTCCCCTCACCCATGGCACTCAGGCCCAGTTCCCCGCACAGGCCGGGCTCCCATCCCCACACCCCCACCTGCCCCATCCACCCCCTCCTCACCCAGCTGCAGAGAGCTGTGCCCCTCCCCACGCCCCAACCCGCCCTTGCTCCTTGTCCCACCCTTGCCCAGTTTTGGTGCCAGCCTTGCTCAGATGAAGCCCCTGTGCCACACCCAGGTGGCCATGAGTTCCCTGAGGTGGGGGCCCTCCTGGGACAGGGCACAGGTGGTGCCCGAGGAATGCCAGGTAGGCAGGGGACTGAGGGCAGCATGGCTGAGTGGGCGGGACTGGGGCCCAGTCGCAGCTGTAAATGGCCCATGGGAGAATCCCTCAGGCCTGCTTGTCCTGGGCCCTCATCCCTCCCAGGCACTATTGTGGCTGGAACCACCACCCCGCCCTGTCCCCATCCCCCCAGGCCACGTATTGTGTTTGAGACCACCCCCCCACCGGCCCTGTGTTGTGACTGGGGCCCCCCACCCCACCCTGGCCCTGCCACCCCTCCCACACCCTGTGCTATGGCTGAGAACTATCCTCTGTCACTACAGATGGGCCCCAAGCTCCAGAGGGGGATGTCTTCTCCGCAGGTCACATGACACAGCCAGACTAGAAGCCAGAGTCCCCAAAACACCTCCCAGCCCGGGGCAGGGTCCGCTGCCCACACAGCCTGCGCAGAGTCTGCTGGAGAAAGCGCTTGTTTTTGCCAGGGCCTGGAATTCTTTCCTCGCTCAGGTTTGAGGAGGGAGGAGGGAGAAACAGGTCCTCCCGGGGCCTGCTGGGCTGGGCTCCTCGACCAGCCCCTTTAGGGCCCCTATCCCCTCCTGCCCCGGCTCCGGCCAGGCCCCCAGAGCTGGCCCTTCCGAGGCCACTGAGCTGCCCAATTCCAGGCAGCCTTCCCAGGGCTCTGCGCGGGCCTGCAAAGGGCTGGACGCCCGCCGGGACAGGACAGAGACGGCGGGCGGGGATTGGGGTGCTGGAGGACGGGCAGGGGCAAGGAACGGATGCAGCTGTGTTCTCAGTCCCCGTGTCCCTGTGGCCTTGAGCACCAGGTGCGAGGCTGGACCGAGCTGGCTGTCTGCATCGGAGCAGGCTGTGGGCCGAGTGTGTCCCCAGATCCATATGCAATGCCCTGACCCCAACCAGATGGCACTTGGAGGTGGGGCCTTGTGGGGGCATGAGGGACCTCGTGGCGGGGTGAGTGGCTTTAAAGGAGGGGAGGGGACCCAAGCTCGCTCGGCCAGGCGAGGGCGAAGCAGGAAGGCAGCCCTCCCACGATCCAGACCCGCAGGCACCTTGATTGCACTTCCGCCTCCAGGCCACTGAGAAGGGAACGTTGCTGTTTAAGACGCCCACCCTGCAGCGCCCTGGATGCCAGAGTCTGGGCTGCAGAACACGGGGAGACACTTGTGTCGTTTGAAGCCACTCGGTGTGTAGCTCTTTGTAACAGCAGCCCGGAAGACCACATAGGGGCCACTGCTCCCTGTGCAGAGGGGTTTCCTGTCTCCCCGACTGCTCAGGATTGGGGGAGCCCACAGTGGTGGCCCGGGCCTGGGGTCACACCCAGTCTGGGTCCAGGTCGCCTCCTGTGGGTGAGGGCAGGGATGAGAGGCCTCAACCCTGGGCCTCCGAGTGCAAAAATGATTGGGGACCTCGGGGGTACCCAGCACCACCCCTCGCTACTGCACGGGTGGGGAAACTGAGGCCCAAAGGGATGCCATCTAGCCAGGATCACACAGCGAGTGAGTCATGAGCACAGCCACGCCCCTCACTCCAGAAGCTCACTTCAGAGCGGTCCGCATCCCCAGCCAGCCTCAGCATCTGCAGAGCGGCTCAGGGCCTCACGCCCTCCGTTCCCCAGGGCAGAGCATGTGACGTGAGGAGAGAGGAGGAGGGCAGCAGTCACACCGGCTCCACCCCTAAGCCAGCCTGCAGCAGCTCGGCCAGGCCGGACCAGAGCACACCTCAGACGGCTCGGCCGGCTCACAGAACCGCCAGCTTCGGTGCATTAAAGGAAGCGGATTCTTTCCGCAGTGGTGATTACGGGACCACGTTAGACTCACTTTCAAATGCTTCCAGTTTCTGCACCACAGTGGAGCTACAAGGCACGCTTTAGGGTGGGGCCTCTCCTCATGTTTTGAGACTGCCAGGCAGGCAGGGCAGGCAGGGCAGGCTGACCAGGTCACTGCCCCATGACATCCTCTGAGAGGCCCGGCACAGCCCCCAACACCCTCCAGGGGGCTGACGCAGCAGCCAGCGCAGCCTCTCCCGGTTCTATTGAACCGAGCTGCAGCTGAGCGGTCATCTGGAACAGCGGCTCCTTGGCAGGGGGGCGTCGCCCGCACCTGTCTCATGCCCGGTCTGCAGGTGTCCTCCTGGGGCTTGTTCTAAAACACCCTGGCCCCTCGACCTCCAGGAGAAAAGCCCACGACCGCTTCCTCCGGCAGGCTTCCCTGCACCAGAGCTAGAAGGCACCCTCCTCTCCTGGCTCCCTGAGCCTTTCACCCAGATTTCTTTCCTACACGGCTTCCAGCACTTTCTCCCAGAACCGGCACTGATTTGCTTTCTCCAAAATGAAAACAGCTTTTCTAGAGATTTTTCCTGATTGTCCGTTCTTCTGCCACTCACTGCCCTCCCCGCACCCAGCTGTCTCCCGCGCAAACGCATGTCCCGTGCACACAGGACCTGCCGTGCGTGGGTGCCCGTCTGCCCTTTACCTACACGCAGTCTCGCTCTCCGGCTCTGTGCCGACTTTGCCGCCTTCACCGCAACATCGTGTACCATTTTCCCAAGGCTGCAAACACAAAGCTTTCAGGAGCACTCAAGTCCTCGGCTGGGATAGACTTAAGGTCCCTTCAGCAGCTCTCAGCGGGCGGGCATTTGGACAGCTGCCCTGGGCTTGATAAAACAGCGCCAGGGCCAGGCACGGTGACTCACGCCTGGAATACCAGCACTTTGGGAGGCTGAGGCGGGTGGATCATGAGAGTTCAAGACCAGTCTGGCCAACACAGTGAAACCCCATCTCCACTAAAAATACAAAAATTAGCCAGGCATGGTGGCAAGTCCCTGTAGTCCCAGCTACTCGGAGGCTGAGGCAGGAGAATCGCTTGAACCTGGGAGGTGGAGGCTGCGGTGAGCCGAGGTCACACCACTGCAGCACTGGGGTGAACGTTTTCACCGCACGGCTTTGAACGCTTGCTGGATGGTCTTTGTTGCATTCCATTGTTTCATTTCATGCAAGCAGCACGGTGGGGTCGGCATCACCCATCTGATATCCATCACCAGACTGCCCCCAGCAAGCGGCCTGGGTGCCTGTCCCTGCCACCTCACAACCCGCCTTTTGCATGCGGGCCAACCTGGGCCCCAGCTGTCTTGGCGTGTCCTTGGCTACAGTGGGCAGGACACTGATCTCACGTGTGGTCTTGGCTCTGTGGCTCTTCAGTTTCCTGAGGATGAAAGCAACGATGTCTGAAACATTCCGGGTGTCTGGGAGGAAACGCCCTGGTGGGTTCTCTCCCCCAGGTCTGGGTCCACGGCCCTTCCTCCTTCTCGGTTTCAGAACCCCACAGACGTCTGCTTTGGTTTGGTGACTCTTGGAAGATATTGGTGTCTTGCACATGTTCACCTTTGAGAAAGGGAGGCTCCTTCAGGACCTACCAGTGGCCCAAAAAGACTGTAGGGCTCCTGCGTTCCCCTGCTGACCTCCTGGACCTGCCTGGACTTCTGCTCAGAGCTTAGTGGGGAGCAGAGTCTGCTGGCACACAGGCAAAATCCCAGAACTCCGGGCTCTTCGAGGCCAGGCAGAATCCGAGCATCTGAAGCAGGCGTTGAAGGAAACGTGGCTGCCCACAGATGTGGCTCAGGCCTCTGGCTCCTAAGCCCTGGGGTAAAGCTGGTTCGGCCTTGGTTCTCTGGGCCAGAGGAGAGGGTGGAGTGAGGCAGGCAAAAACCACTGGGGCGTGAGGTCTGGGACCCAGGCCTGCACTGCTGTCTCTGAACCAGCAGCTCTGGGGAAGCGGGGTTGGGCTGGCGCGGCCTCGGCCAGACCACCTTTCAGCAGGTGGGCAGCGCCGCCAATGTCCAGGTCTTGGCAACACTGGTTCCCCTCCAGGCTGCACCCTCCCGCTTCTGGAGCCTACGAGGGGAAATGCAAACTGGGGAAGCTGCCCACCCAGTGCCCCTGGAGGCCCGGCCAGGGGCAGGTTGGAGGCTGCAAGGGGGCCAGTGGCCCACTCCGGCCGTCACTTCCGGGACGCCCGCCCCAGCCCGCCCACCTGCCCCGCCCTGTCCTCCAGTGTCTGGCCTGAGGCTGGGCCATCCCCAAGGTTTAGGGACAGGAAGGGCCCATCGCTGAGACTTTGTTCTTTCAGCCACTCAGCTTCTGGTAGTCTTCAGCTGCTCCATGGGGTCTGGTCCTTGTCACTGTGCCCACATGCAGGACTGAGATGGCAGCTGTGTGGCTGGCACCCAGTGGGGGTGGAAGGGCATTCCCAGGGCCCTCCCTGATGTCCTGGGACAACTTACAAATAGCCATCGGCATGGCACAGATGCCCTCTGCCCACCCAGGGTCACAGTGCTCCTGGTCACTTCTGCCTGGAGTCAAAGTTCACACCCAGAGCCATGGTTCGCACCTGAGATCACCTTTCCACCCGGAGTCAGAGGCTTCCCACTTAAAGGCAAGGGTCCTGCCACCTGAGTACTTTTTCCAACCCCAAAGGCCAGGCCCGCAGTCAGCTAAGGCCCTCCTGGACAGGACGATCCGGAGCCACACTGTGTTTGTCCAAGGGCCCCGGCAAGGCCAGGCCCCAGCACGGGGGCCACCCACTTGGAACGCACCTTCGTCAGCCTCCCCGCAAGCCCCCCCAGTGTCCCACAGTGCGTCGGGACCACCTCCCAAATAAACTCTTGGCACCCAAATCCTCGTCTCTGGGTCTGCTTCCAGGGATCAAACAGACAAAAGAATTCGCCTCACAGAACAGTCGGATGCAGACGCGAAGTGCACTGGGGCCATGGCCACAGGAGCGCCCACACCCTGGAGGTCAGCAGGGTCTCTGCAGCCTGCCCACTGCAACATGAGTAGCCACAGAGCTCCATGGGCTTCTGGAAGGATCACCCCTAGGCCACACCCACTTCCACAGGACCCAACAGAGCCCAGAGCATCCCAGCAAGACCTGAATCTTCAGCCCCTGAGCAGGCCTCAGAGGCCAAACCTAGGGAGGAAGTGTCCACGGGCCCTGAGTGCCCTCCCCCCGGGGCGCCCCCTCCACAGGTAGGTAATAGATGAGGGGTGCTGGATGGGTGCAGAGCACAAGTGAATGGGAGGCTCTGTCACTGTCCACATCCTGAAGACCAGGCGGCTGTTCATGTCACCACTCCGTGCAGCTGACAGCACTTGAGCCTGTGACGGCGGCAGCAGCAAAGGCCCCAGCACAAACCACCCTGCTGAGCCCCGCCAAGCCCAGCCAGCCATAGAACTGAGAGATGACAATTGGTTCTTGCTCCAAGACACTGATGTGGTTGGGATACGTGGCGACACATATGGGCGTCCTTATAAGAAAGCCAAACCCAGCGATGGGTGTCCGTATAAAAAAGCGCTACGGAAGCAGAGACGCAGACACACAGAGAAGCCCGGGTGACGACAGAGCAGAGAGCACAGCGACGCAGCTGCAAGCCAAGGTGGCCGGCAACCACCAGACCCCGGATAGGGCAGGAAAGATCCTCCCTAGGAGCTCAGAGACAGTGAGGCCCTGCTGACACCTTCACTTTGGACTTCCGGCCTCCGGAGCCGGGAGCGTCAGTATCTGTTCGTAGAAGCCCACCACGGTTGGTGGGAGTTTGCTGCAGCAGCCCCAGGACACCCTGCACCACAGAGACAAGGAGGGGGATGCTGCTCTTGGGGCCTGGGCCAGGCCGACTGCCGATACTCACTGGTGGTGCTTCCAGACATCTGAATGATGCACTTGGAGTCACGGCTCATTTCCCGGGAATTGAAGGGGCGGACCCTCACCGCCACCTTCACCGAAGCCCCGGCCATCTCGGTGGCCTTTGCTTGTCACTCCTCGCAGTGGTGGGAGAATCAGTGAGCGGGGAATCACCTGGGAAAAAGGGAAACATGAATCAGAAACAACATTGAAGAGGCAGGACCCACACTCTGCCGCAGCTGAAGCCGCAGGCCTTCCCCACTCCCTTCCAAAGTCCCCCGCTGTGACACATGAGTGGGGTGGAGTCCACAAGGAAGGGGCAGCACAGATCATTCTAGAAACCAGGAGCCCAGCGGGACTAGTGGAACCTGGCTTCGAAAGCCTGGGGAAGCTGGAACCTGACAAAAGAAACAAAGCGACCTCGGTGTGAATGTGAAGGTGGCCTTCACTCCCTCCCACGGCACAGTCCCCAAGCAGGGGCTTCCCCTGCGGACACAGGCCTGGTGGGCTCCATGCCAGGTCCATGCAGGCCCCAAGAGCCAGTGCGGGCTCAGATCAACACGTCAAGGATGCTTGAAAATGGCACAGTGTTCCAGAATGCCCCATCACACCCTGTGTGGAGTGCCCGCTGGTGGCCGCATCAGCTGCAGAAGGGTCTGTGAATTAGCAAGGAGGACTTTACTCAGAAATGAACAGAACAGGACAGACAGCCCTAAGCAATGGGACAAAAGTCAATGTTTTCAGCCACATTTCCTGCTGGTAATTTATGCGGAACATTCCCGAAGGCCCCACTGAGGAGGGGCAGCCCGTGAGTCACGGGGAACTCAGTACAAGCCAGGGCTGGGGGGCCGGCCTGGGCCTTGCCTTTATTCCAGCCGTGTGACTCAGCTTCCTGGGCCCCAGTGTACCTTCTGTGAAATGACAGGGTGGCGGTCAAGAACCCAAAATGGTTTGGCCTCTCGGGTGCTAGGGCTCTGAGGAAGGCCGATGAAAACTCCTCGCAAAGCAATGACAAAGCAGCTACCGCAAAAGGTTTTTCTGGGCAGACCTCCCACACGCTACGGTTTCCCCTATGGGACTTGGGGCCTGAAGGATGGGGCTCCTGGGCACAGGGGGAGGGACAGGCTCGGGACAGAGCTGCTGGTTACAGGAATGGCCAGAGCTCCATGAAGCAGCATCCATGCAGGCCAGCATGAAGAGGTTTCCACCAGCTGCTGTCTCCAGCACTCCAGGGTGCCCGCTAAGTGGTGAGTCCCCCACCACCAGAGGCATCCAATGAGAGCAAAGGCTAGGTGGCCTCCCTGAAACCCTCCCACACTGAGATTCCATGAAAAGGCAACCTTGCGCCTGGTCGTCCCCGCCCATAAGTGCCATCCTTGGGAGAATCTGGCCAAAAGGCCCCTTCCGACAGTGCTCCAGCCTCGTAGCTGTGAAGAAGGGACAAGCCCCTCTGGGCTGCCCCTGGAAACCCCAGGGTCAAGAGCAGGAGGGTCTGTCTGCAGAAGGAAAGGGGCACAGTGAGCCTGGGACCAGGGCAGGTGCTGAGCTCCCGGACCCCGCCCCAGCCACCCCCAGGCTCTCCAGAACTCCTCTGCAGAACACACAACACGCTGGATGTGGGGCAGGGCTGTCCCTTCAGCAAACAGCTCTTCTAGAGGCTGCAGGAGAGGGGAGGTGCCAGGCCACCCTACGACTAAGTGGGGACAAGTTCCTGCTGTGGTTGGACTCATGCCACCTACAGCGCAGCCCCTTAGAGCCACAGACGCAGCCATGTCTACACTCCAGAGTGCTTCCGCCACGACCTCTTCCCCTCACGGCCAGGAGTGGCCGCCTGCGTGGACGGAGGGATGACCTCTGAGAATCTGTGTTTGCTTGTGTTGAAAATCCCTGTACTTTTAAAACTGGAACAAGTCTCAGGACATTGGAGCCGGGATGGAGAGAGGGACAGGCAAGCTCACGTGTCCCTGGTGAGAGCACAAACCCACAAGGTTTCCAGCGAGCGCTCTGCAGCACACCTGGGGCCTTTAAAAAGTCTGTGTCCTTTGACTCAGTAATCCCAAGTACTGACATAGGAAGTACTCAGAAATTAAGAAGACATTTATGAAAGCAGATGTTATTCAACACCGCGAAGTTTCCAGTTCTCCCCAGATTTAGCTGTATAAGTTCAGTGCAATTCCAATAAGCAAAATATTCCAACAGGACTTTCAGTGGAATTTGGCAGGACAAGAGAATTTTGAAAAATGAGAACAAAGAGGGGAAACATCCCCTACCAGCTCTCCATCTATATCCTACGGAGTACGACCATTTCCAAAGTCTAGAAACGACATGTGAACAGACTAAGCATGTCCACAAGCAGACACACACGCACACACACGTGCACACGTGCACACAGGTGCACACACACACAGGCACACACATGCACACACACATCCATTGAAGAAAAAGGTATCAATTGAGGTAATGACGTAAGATCAGTATAGGGACAACTGGCCATCCCAAACTGTAAAAAATAAAGCTATTGTATAACTTGATCTTTGAAATGTAGAAGCAGTGGAAGGACACAGAGAAGCCTCTGTTCTGGCTCTGGGGTGCAGAATATTCACACCGCGACGCAGGGCAAGCGCAGGAGGCCTGGTGGGTGCGGCGGCAGACCAGTGCCCCGCGCAGGAGGCCTGACACGACGCCGGGCGTGGGGAGGAATCCAAATCCAAATGCCAGCGGAGCCGCCAGCCAGCATTCCTGAGGATGGGCTGCCAAGGCAGGAGCCGGCCTCTGAGCACCGCCTCCGCGGCACATTTGCATTCTGCATGCGGGGCAAGAGGCTGGGAATCTGGAGTCTTCCCAGACTGAGGGCCGTTGCTGAGGGACGGAGGAAGCTGCAGAGCTTTTGGGCAAGAGAAGGAAACTTGAGAGGCCAAGATCCCGGAAGAGAGAGATGAAGAACTGAGATGAACAAACCCCCAGTCCCTCCCTTCAGACATCTGCCAGACTCTGAAGGTAGGAGACGTGGGATTTAAAATCCCAAGCTGAAAACCACAGAGGCATCTTGCACAGTCTCAGGGGCTAACAATGATTTGAGTTCCCGGTCCAGGAGGAGGACACCCAGTGACGATACCAGGTCTGGCAGAAAGCCCAGGAAGGTAGAGAACCTAAAAGCAGGGCAGAGCCACAGCCAGGGCGAGTCTGAAAGCTACAGCCTGCCCTCACATGGCTTAATTCAAACCTCACTCTGGCAGCCTGGGAGAGAAAAGGGAAGCCATCCGGAACCTCTACGTGCTTTTGTTTTTATTGTTTCAAACCCGGGACAATCTCTGTACTCTACATTCTTTTAATAGGGAAGGTACAAAATAAGAAAGGACTCTGATTAAAACCAAAGAAGAAAAATAAAATATAAACACGTGAGAAAAAAAAGACACCTACACACGACCCAGATCTAGGAGTTATTAAACAAGGACTTCAGGACAACCCTGACTCATGTATTCAAAATAGGAGCAAAAAGGACAGAGGAAATAAATGGAAAATGGAGAGTTTTGCCAGAGGACTGGAAACTATAAAAAATAATCCAATGGAAATGCTAGATCTGAAAAACACTATAACTAAAATTCGGAACTCAAGTGATTAGACACAGCTGAAGACAGTGTTAGTAAACTGGAGGACAGGTAATAGAAATACAGAAAATTTAAAACAGATAAGAATGGAAAATATAGACATGACAGCCAGAAAAATAGAGGGCACAGGGAAATGGTCAAACACGCCTGTAACTGGAATCTAAAAGGAGAAGAAATGGAAGGGGGGAGATGGTCTGAATGTCTGTGTCCCCACCTCATCCAGGTTCCTGTGTGGAGATCCTAACCCGCAAAGTGATGGTATTAGGAAGTGGGGCCTTTAGGAGGTGATTAGGTCATGACAGGGGAGCCTCACAAATGGGATCAGTGCCCTTAGGAAAGAAATGCCAGAGACACCCCTGACGCACCACGTGGGAACCGGGCAAGAAGGCCTCTGCAAGTCAGAAAGCAGGTCCTCAGCAATGTGCCTTGCTCATGAGCTTCCCAGCCCCCAGAACTGTGAAAAATAAATTCTGTTATTTATAAGCCACCCAGCTTACGATACTGTTGTTACAGCAGCCGGAACGGACCGAGACAGGGGAGAGGCAATATTTACAAAACTGACGACCACGGATTGTCCAAAGCTGCGGAAGCACATCGACCTGCAGGTTCAAGAAGCTCTGAAAATGCAAAGCCGGGCAGACAAGAAAGCCACACAACACGCAGCACAGCGGCACTGCTGGGACCAAGGGTGGGGGCAGAGCGCTTACAGACAGCCAGGAAAAAATGGCGTAGAACCTTTAAAGGAGCAAAACTAAGACTGACAACTGACTTCTCAACAGAAATGATGGAAACCCGAAGACAAGGCTGCCAGGTTCCAACACGGCCACCAAAGGGCTCCGAGCAACCGTTGACATTCAGCCGTTCAGGACACGTGTTGTGATTTCAAGGGTGATCACTTAGAAAGTAGAACACTAATGTTTAATTAACAAACTCATAGAAAAATAACATAAAAATTTAAATGTATGAATCCAGTGGAAGGCAATGAAGGAGAAAAACAGCATCTGACAAGATACCGTCAAGTGGAAAGTAAAGAGCTAAGAGAGCAGATAAAAGCAGAACTCAGAACGAACTAAACACGCCAAGTAAAACATCAACAATCGTCAGACCAGATTTTTCTAAAATTATATTCTGTTCATAAGACACTCTACATACAAAGACAGAGAGAGGTTAAAATTAAAAGCATGAAAAAGTTTCCTTGTTCTATCAGCCACTGAGGAGGAGAAAGTGGAAGCATACACGTTGTTCATTTAATTAATTATTTGTTCATTTATTTACAGACTGCGCCTGCTGTCTCCCAGGCTGCAGCTCAGTGGTGTGATCCCAGCTCACTACAGCCCGGCCTCCTAGGCTTCAGCAATGCTCCCGCCTCTGCCCTTCAAGGAGCTGGGACTGCGGGCACGTGCTACCATGCCCAGATAATTTTTTTATTTTTTATTTTGTAGGGATTGGGTCTCACTGTGTGGGCCGGGCTGGTCTCGAGCTCCTGGGCTCAAAGGATCCTCCCATCTCAGCTCCCCAAAGTGCTGGGATTCCAGGTGTGGGTCGCCGTGCCCAGCCTCACACACATTCTTCTGAAGTGCACACAGA